CCCCCCCCCCCCCAGTTAACCATACTGGAATATAATAATGGAGCACAATTATCCTCCGCTAACCTCACTTAACCATAAAATTATATGTATTAAAAAGAACAAGAATATTGAGAATTGACTCGCCTTGCTGGCAAAACATGCATTTTAAGATGAAAGTATGTAATTTAAGGGAAATTGAAAGAAAATATTTTTCTTCAGGGGGCAGGTGATTGAACTTCTGGAGCACATTACGGAATCTGCCATGATTTCTCACATTGTGAGATGCTTAGTAATGTAAATGAGTTGACTACTGTCCCACTACAACTATCAAGGTTGTACGAACAGAGTCAAGGAAAATGTAGGTCAGTTTCTAAATAGTTGGCATACAAAGGTATTCGGGAATGTTTAAGGCCATTTTAACTCTTAAAACACATAACAAGGAAGATATCGGTACTATCTTATGAAGAATAACCTTTACTATAAAGTCATTTATATTTCTTTAATAGACTTCATTTTGCCCTAGTCCATAACACTCTTCAGAAAGATTTCAATCATGTTTGTTATTTAAATTAAACAGATTGAAATTCTAAATGTTGAGTTAAGAAATTTCTCGAGTTACTATTATAAGCCAACTACTGTATTAGATGTAAGAGGCACAAAAAGATTAACACAAAGTCCTTAACCTCAAGAATCTCAAGGGCTCGTGGAAGAAGCTCTATATATAAACAAATAGTACACACACTGTGGTCCATGCTATAACAAAGAAATAATTAGATACTGTTGATAATATGTTAGTGAGCTATAAAGTCTGCCTAATTAGGTGTTTGAAGTATTTCCCTGAGACAGTTCTGTAGTCCTTATTCATATACAGTTTATTTTGAGTAATATAAAAATAAACATTTTATTTCCAATTAATAAAATCATGAAAAATTTTTTGTTTTAGATACTCCTATAATGTAATATTAAGGAGAGAGAGAGATGCAGATAATATAAAGAAATGGATTATTCTTGACACTAGAATGCACAAAAAAGTCATTAAAGCCACTCTCCAGAGTGAAGAAGAGAGAAAAATAAAATAAAAATAATGACCTTATTTGTAAAATTCACTCTCTTGATCTGGCTTTCAGTAGATTCCATTCTTGAAATAGAACAGTTACTTTTATTTTTAAGACCCAGGAAAGTCTTGTGCTCTTTAAACTAGCCTCTAAAACAAAGAATATTGTAGCAAGTATTTTCTGCACAGTAATACAAAGAATACATATTAACAAGTCACAGTTAAGAAGGGTTGGAACAATCAATAGTTAGAGGCTAGAACTTTATTCACAAGAACACATTTAAGTAGATTAAAATAAGTTCATTCAAAAAATTAAAAAAAAAAGTTTAGTTGATTTGATAATACCGATAGTTGACTTAACTTGTATTCATTGAACAGATAAATGCAGGACACTTACATATGTCAATGTAGTAAATGTTGGAAGGAAGGAAAGATATACCCTTCACACCTGTGAGGATTTTATAGGGTAATGAAAGAAGACTCAGATATAAAGAGCTAGTTGTAATAAGAGACAACATAGATACCATAACTCAAATCTTTTTTTTTTAAATGTTTTTGTTGATTTCAGAGAGAGGGAGGGAGAGGGGCAGAGAGAGAGAAACATCAATGATGAGTCATTGATCGGCTGCTTCCTGCTCGCCCCCTACTGGGGATCGAACCCATAACCCGGGTATGTGCCCTGACCGGGAATGGAACAGTGGCCTCCTGGTTCATAGGTTGACATTCAACCACTGAGCCACACCTGCTGGGCTCAAATCCTTTTTTTAAAATGAAATGATCGTAAGTAGAAATATCTGAAGAAAATACCTAATGTAAAGACTTATACACCCTTCTTCACTTACATTAGTGCATTGCAGAGGGCCACTGGCAAAAGAGGAATTGTTATATCTCGTTCCACATATCCAACTTCTGGGCGATGGGGGGGACACTGGCTTGGAGACAACTATGCACAATGGGACAACTTGGACAAGTCGATCATTGGTATGTAAGAGTCACCATCTTTATTGTTATTCTTTTGAGTTTTCTAATAGGTATTCACATTTTCTAGTGTTTGTTCATATTACTTTAAAAGTGCATCTCAAAAATAGGCTTTTGGTGTCACCTTTTAGGACAAATAACACCATGATAATGCAGTGGGTCAGAAAACAGGGTTTGGGGTGCTGTATAGGAACTAATGATTTCTGACTAGTTTATTTATAGAAAATAATTTTACCACTTTTTGTTTCAGTTCCCTGGTTTGAAAGGGCAGCAGCCGGTGAAGATAACAAGCTAAGAATAGAAATGGGTGGACATTCTAGATTCTAGGGAACAGGAATCACTTATAGATGCTGAAGAATGAGCCATTTTAAACCAAATTTAGAAAGAGTTTTCTGGCAATGGTTGGATAAATAGTAAATCAGACATTATCATTTAAAGGGCAAAAGGATACTTTTCTGTGTGAGATCTAGTCTTAAAAATGCTTTATTATTCATTTAAGATTCAAGGAAAACACTTAATGCTTAGAAACATTCCTTTAAAGAAGAGCTGGGAAATCACACACATTCTGCTTTATTAAAGTGATCATTCCTTAGATTTTAATAAAAATAACTCAAATTTGTTTCAAATGATAAAACCTATCATTAAATAATTACAGAGATAGCCTTTTATTATAAAAATGAAACCAATGAAACCACCACCACTTTCTTCTCATACTATAATGTATTCATAACAATTTTGTGCCCTAAATATGTTGTCTTAAAACTGTTAAGGAAGCATATTGTGCTTTATTTTTATAAATGTCATTAACACTATAAAGTTAAAAACTATGAAAATTATAAAAAGAAATGATAGAAAGGTATGTTAATAATCTGAAAAATTTTTTTTATTGAATTAGAGGTTGGAATTAGAAATGGAACATCTTTATAAATTAAAAAAATATCAAAATAAATGTGCAACTGCAGCTTCCTAAGATTATTTTTCTAATTTTTTAGGTATGATGGAATTTAGTCTCTTTGGAATATCATATGTAAGTAACTATTCCTTTTATCTTTATAACTTCTAAATATTAAAGAACAAACTTAAAAGTAATTAAATATAACAATGTATTTTAGACTGGAGCAGATATCTGTGGTTTTTTCAATGATTCGAACTATCACCTCTGTGCCCGCTGGATGCAACTTGGAGCATTTTATCCATACTCACGAAATCACAATGTTGCGGGCACTAGGGTATGTAATTACTGCATTTACTTTCCTTCCTTTCCACCCAGTAAACATACATGTTTTTAAATATAATTCACTCTACCTCGCTGATTTCCCAGTGAATGCTTTGAACTTCTGTACATTGACTGAGGACCTCTAAGCCTATCATTTTGAAAAATTTCTGACTTGGGTTACTCGTTTATACTTTTGGGTTCAAGACATGATTAGCTGGCATACTTACTGCTGTTCTGTATAATTTTGGAGTAGTCAGGAAAAAAAATTGCCTCTGAAACTTCTTCCAAACCAGAATGGAACAATAAGAAAATCAGCTTCTATCATATCTTCTAATTCCCACATTAAGAATCCCGAACACCAATCAGAAAGAATATCTGCACCCCTATGTTCATAGCAGCATTATTTACAATAGCTAAGACCTGGAAAGAGCCCAGGTGCCCATCAGTAGATGAGTGGATAAAAAAGCAGTGGTACATTTACACCATGGAATACTATGCAGCTATAAAAAGAATGATCTCTTGCCCTTTGGGACAGTATGGATGGACCTGGAGAGGGTTATGTTAAGTGAAATAAGCCAGGCAGAGAAAGACAAATACCACATGATCTCACTCAGATGTGGAATCTAAGGAACAGAATAAATTGACGAACAAGATAGGACCACAGACATGGAAGTATGGAACAGACCGACAGATCTTAGAGGGAAGGCGGGGGCTGGGAGAGATTAACCAAAGAACTTGTAAGTATTTATGAACAGCCCATGGACTCAGACAATGGACAGACAGGGGCCTGGGGAGGGGTGGGAGATGTGTGGAGGGGGTTAAAGGGGTGGGGGAGAGGGACATTTGTAATACTCTCAACAGTGAAAAGAAGAAAAAAAAGAAAATCCGCTTCATACTAAATAATTAGTGAAAGCCATTTGAAATACTAGTATCATGAAATGGGAAGATTTAAAAGGCATATGTTAAAACTGTGAGTTGAGAAATGGAGGGAGAAAAAGGAAAAGGGAATCATGAGAACTTATTTCTGTGTGGTGACAAATATATACTAAATTGTAGGGAGGAACTTTTGAATAAGAGGGGAGACAATACTAAAAATGTTGGAAAAATATGAACGATTGTAGCCAGTGTTTAAGCACTAAACTCTGTGATATTGACTTTCAGGGAAAATGTACAGAGGAAAGAAATTATCAAAAGCACCTTATGGACGGTTGTAGACAGAGCTGGTCTTTAAAGGCCGAGTTCTAGCCATGGTGATTGAATCGCAGAGTTCACCATGTGCTTGAAATCTTTGTGTCACTCTTGGGAAATTTATTCAGATTAGAGGGGAGGATTTGCTTTAGAAAATGAAAATGAAAATCTAGGTAGAAAAACAGTATGGGACCATATTTTGGAAGAATTTGAAAGTTGGACAATAAAGACATAACTTGGAATAGGAATATTTAATAGGAAAACTTGTTATCAAAAATGCAATTTAGAAAGCTGTAATATTAGCAAAGTGAGGTATGAATCAATAGAAACCTGAACATAGATTCATTTAATAAGTATTCATTGAGAGTCTACTAGTTAATATTTACAAAATTTTGCCCTACAGATTCGTATGATATAGGAAGAATAGGGATAATAGATAATTATTTGTATTTTTATACTTATTTTTATATATTTTATATATTTATATTTATATATTTATATAAAATTTCAGGTAAAAATAAATACATATGAAGGAAAATGGAGTAGGCTAAAGTGATAGAGATTTATGGGGGTTCTGTTTTAGAAGGGGTGATCAGGGGAGTCCTCTTGAATTGTCACATTAGCATTAGGGCAGAGGCTTGATTTCGGGTAGAGCAACCAATATAAAGATATTGAGGAAGAGAAGGCCAGCTGGGAGGGAATAAGTGAAAGAACACAAGATGGAAATGTGGCTGGATTTTTTGAGAAGATGAAATGGAAGAGGGAAAAAAAAGACTAAGGAAGTATTTCTAAATAAAAATTGAAAAACAGAAGGCTCAGTTTAAGTTTAATTATGAGGGAATATAATTGAATTTAGGAATGTGTGGTTTAGAATTACAGGTTTATATATGTATCAACATGTTGACAGTTAAATGACATTGATGAAGTCAATAAGCAACAGAAGGGAACTTTATCTCTTTCTTCTTACTTGACTTTGAAACTAGTAATAGGGTCAGATATAGCTAAGTAGTTCTTGGAACTTCTAATTTTTAAGTACATGCCTATTTCAACATTACAAATACCAGTAATAATACTCAGCATCATTCAAGCATTCTTACTCCTGAAGTCTAGAAAAAGTGGGAATCTTCATAGATATGACACAGCTCTTAAGGGCCCTATTTCTGTTGATATCAACAAAAAACATTGAAAGTGCTGCCTCTGGAGTTATGTGGCAGCCTTGTTTGTTCCTGGGTAAAAATAAAATATAAAATACTAATCACCTTAACTGTGATTAGTTATTGCACAGTTAGTGCAATAACATTTTTTAACAGACTTTCAATCTTTCAAGTATTAATTTTAGTCTTTTTACCTAGAGTGTGTATTCTTTTTTTTTTTTTTTTTTAAATATATNNTGTATTCTAAAATAGACTTGGGCATATTCTTTCTTTCTTGTCCAACATTAATTAGGTCTTTTGTTCCTCATATGTAATTAGTTCTTTAGTACCAAAATTTATTTATGTCTCATGAGAACACATAATGTGCAGGGTTACCATGATGGGCTCGGCATGTCTTTATTTATTTCGAACCATGATCTCCTGGATCCTAGGTGGATGCTCAACTGCTGAGCCATGCCCGACCGGGCTGTTTCAATCCATTTTGGGTAGCATTTCATTTCTCTCTGAGACTTTTCACCTGTATACTGTGTATCATCATAGTTAACAAAGTATTTGTCACCTATTCAAATGTGAACTGCTCTTTACATATGATAACATAAACTAACTCAAGCCAGGGACTTAACCTTCCTTTTTCATATTAAAATGTTAACATTGTATGAAATAGAAACATTATTGCAAAAGATGTTTGTGACTATAGTGTATTGCACATGACAATGAATTAATATTATTCCTTATTTTTATTCTCCAAATACACATTTCAAAATTACGTTTTAAACAAAAGCAAAAGTTTACAACTATTTCAATTTGGTTTATTTCAGAGACAAGATCCTGCTTCCTGGAATCAAACTTTTTCTGAAATGTCAAGGAACATTTTAAATATAAGATACACTTTATTGCCCTACTTCTATACACAGATGCATGAGATTCATGCTCATGGTGGCACTGTTATACGACCTCTTTTGCATGAGTAAGTGCAAATTTTTTTCCTACCATGGACAGATAGCTTTCATTTAATTTACTGAATAATATATTTTAGTACAATATACAATATTTTGAATTAGAAACTTTTTCTTTGTTATTTTAGTCTACATTTTAGGTTAACAAACATTTCCATAAATAAATCTTCTGATAGATTAATATACACTATCAAAAAGGAAACAAAGTACTTAGTTATTAAAAAGTAAGTGTTCTTCTTAGGAATAGCTGTTGTATACCAGGTATTATTCTAGATGATTTACATACCTTATTACATTTAGTATTTTCAAAAAGTTTTCTACATAAGTAATATTGTTTCTGTATTATGATTAAATTAATTGCAGTTTACAGCAGTTAAGCAGATCTACCATATATTCATTCCTAACTGAAACGATTTATCCCCTTTCTGTAAGTGTGCTAATAGGATATCTTAGAACAGGACTAATATTCTCCTTAGAAAATTTATTTGGATTCACTTTTAAAGCTCAAACTGATATATGGCCAATTCTTGAAATTTTATTCTATGGATCATAGTTGCAAAAATTTTAGCCTGTTCTATTTTTAAGACAAAAATAAGAAGATTCTTATTGTAGATGTTACAAAAAACAAAACACACATTCAAACAAAAATACAAATAAACCCTTGAAACAATCATAGTATAATTATCTTCCTGGGTACCCTATATTAACAGAGTAATTGAAAAAGGTGATCTGTTATATTTCATTATTAATAAACCAATAAAAATACATAGCATATATATTTACTCAAATTGAACAGTAATGACCAAGATAAAATTTCAAATATAACAGCATGATCAATATACCTTCAATTCTAATATAATGAAAGATCCAGTTTAGAAAAAAAAGTCTCCTAGATTCAAATTATCCTCTCTAGTTACTTTATTAAACCATTTTAATGGTAACATTTTATTAATCTTTTGTTTCTTTCATTTCACACTCCCACCACCCCCACCTTTGTCATCTTTCTATTAACTTTTCAGAACAAAGTATCATCTCTGGACTGAGTCTCCAGCCAGAAACATTATTATTAACTATGCAAACTCTTGTCCTGTTGAAAACACCTGGGCCTTTGCTTCCATGGGACATACATGGAAAAGTAAACCCAGAAGTCCATTTTGGCATTAATCTCAGTTGTAGTAAAACAAAACAAAACAAAACAAAAACAAAGGAACAAACCCACACACAAAATTACACTTCCATTTTAATTAGAGAAAAATGTGGATATTTAATAGTATGTATTCTCAAACCATACTTTCCAGCTATTAATATTTCAAATTCAGAAATCTAGTAACATATTGGAAGAACCTTTAAGGACATGTAAGTCCACTATTCACTGAGCTGTAATCAAAGTAGGAAAAGCCAATTTTTTAAAGTTACCAAATCAAGATGCTTATAGCATGCTTGTCTCACACTTCTTTTTTAGGGGATTTATAATTTTTGCTTTCTAGTTTGTTAATGTTCTATTCCTAGTTAATATTTTTTACCTCTATGAATTCTCTTCAAAGTAAATTTCTCATTCAGTGGTCTTACAAGTTCAATCACAATTCTCTACATTTTGTCAGGAAGTTTAGTCATAGTCTAGATTTACTTGTAAAGTATTGTAGTATGGCACATTGAATTCCAAGTCATAGAATTATTTTTGATGTTTTTATAATTTGATTTTCTTTTCAATCCACAAAAGTCCATGCTGAAAAATGTGATTTTAATTCTTATTTAATCGTATTCAGAAAAACGAAACTTATTTGATTAAACAATTTGTAAATATTTTGTCAAGGTTCTATAATGATAAGAAAACCTGGGACGTATTCAAGCAGTTCTTGTGGGGCCCGGCATTTATGGTTACCCCTGTACTGGAACCTGTAAGTCCGACCACGTATTTTTGTTCATAAAATACTTTTTCCTAATTTATATGTTGTTAATATCTATATTTTTTAATTCCAGAATAAGACTGTTGTAGAAGGCTACGTCCCTAATGCTCGGTGGTTTGATTACCATACGGTAAGTAATTAAAGAGTTCTGGGGAACTGACCAAACAGAAATGAGTTTAAGTTTGATCACAATCTTTTCATTAATGATAGATCTGGTTTACTTTCTACTTAAAATGAGTGAAGTGCTTTTGCTAATTATATCTGAATCAAAGGAACACACAGTGAAAGAGAATTAATTTATTCTTCCATAGTTGCTTATGTCGTCATTGATTTATTTTACCAAATAAACATGGGCAGTACACATTGTTCACCAAAAGGTCATTGCCCTTCATTGGCTATGCAACAAGATCATTAAAGGTAATGATTAATTCAGTCCTCCCCAGAATAATGTATGTGGCAGTCAGGAAGAGCTTTTGTGACCTTTCAAAAGTCCGTACATTTTCTGCACCATATGAGCACCACAAAAATAAGTAGTTGTAAATTACTTTCAAAGCTACCATTGAACCAAGGCCTGAGTATATGCTTTAAGCAGCATGGTCTTCTGAATAAATGTTTGTCTTTATTTTAAAGTGGAAAGTGTGTCATTTGATTTTATAAATGTGCCCCCTCGAGTTGCAATATCGCTAATAATTCCACTTCTTGCTGCTTTCTTTCTTCCTCCCAACCCTGTCATTTCCAGGGGCAAGATATTGGTGTCAGAGGAACGTTTAAGGAGTTTGATGCTCCCTTCGATAAAATTAACCTTCATGTTCGTGGTGGTTACATCCTGCCATGTCAAGAGCCTGATCTAAACACGTTTCACAGGTAAACAGTGTTTACAGAATTCAGATTAAAGTTTAAGAGACATCAGCTAGAATTGCCAAGGATTGGGAAGGGTTTGAGATTCTTTCCTACGTCCAAGCTTACAAGTTAGCCTGCTGGTTTCACGGAGCTGGGTCAGAAGCAAAGCCTTTTTTACTCATGGTATACCAAGAAATGTGACCTTCATTTTTGCTTCAGTTTTCTCTGTCCCCCAAGTCCCATGGGGGTGACATGGAGTGGCCCAAAAGATGCTGCACAAGTTGGAAGTTTGTGTCACAGCTTAGGAACTCTAAGCTCAAGGAAACTCATTTTGTTGTTGTTGTTGTTGTTACGGACTGTAAGTAAACGTGTTTCAAACATGATATTCCCTCTTATAGTAAGAAAGTTTATCAGATTAATATACCAACTAAAACTTAATGTCTTCTGTATAAATATGCAAAGGCATTGACAATGAACGTCATTCAGTGTAAATGGCTTCCTTACCTAAGCCCTCTTTTTCTTTTTCCTGACTCTGACATGTGGAAGAAATCATGTTACTTCATGAACATGATTTTAAATAAACCTTTTTAAAACTTTAAGCAAATTTTGCTTAGAGGATTTCTCTTTTCTTCAGTTTTTTTTGTTCCCCTTTCTCTGCCTCCCTCTTCAGTCCTGTGAAATATTCTTTGACTCACTTTAGTCAATATGAAAATGGGGATACCCATTGATGATTTCACTACTCATTCAAACTGCTAAGTCCACTGCTGCCCAGAGAAGAACCAGATGCATCTCTTAGTAGCCTGGTCCCATAAAAAGATAAAGATAATTCAGATTTTTCTATCCATTGTCATTCATAAATGATCATCTGGATAAGACTCTCCTCTCTTCTTTGCCCCAGAAACCCCTACCTGGTATTTTATCCCTCACTCAGCAATATGTCCAAACTGTGCCTCTGGGACTGCCACAGTGTCTCTGTTTCACTGCCTGAATTCCTGCTTAGATATTCAGACTTTAGAGGACCCCGTCCTTCTCTCTCTTCTCTTCACACTGTATCCACTCTCTTGGTCATCTGCATGCTCACAGCCCCAATTGGTATGAACAGTCTCTTTCTATTTTCTGGAACTATTTAGATAAATTTCTATCAATATTCTACCCTGATATCAATTAAAGATAAGAAAAACAATTTTATGTGAAAAATTAAGGCTTCATGGAGGGAACCATTCAAGGTGTTCCTTGAATCCTTTTTGTTATGAGAGAAAAGAGAAGCTATTTCGTGTGTGCGTGCGTGCGTGCGTGCGTGCGTGCGTGTGTGTTGGAGGTAAAGTATTGGATCTTGGGTTTAAGGATATACAGGGTGAGGCAAAAGTAGGTTTATAGTGGTGAGTACACAAAACACAGAGTTTATTCTTGTATCATTATTTATTTATTTTCCTATTATTTTCCATACCAAAGCTGTAAGCCTACTTTTGCTCTACCCTTTATGTAGAGTATAAGTTGTGAAATTCTTTTTAATCTGTTTTTAAATATGTTGGAAAACTGTGGGTTAAACCAGAGTTTTAATGTTGCTAATAACACTTATCTTTTACCCCAGTAAAGTGAACTGAAATACATACATATATTCATGCTAAGACATGCTAACATTTTTTACATGGAAAATATCAAATTGCTATGAAGGTTTAAATTTTAGATATTCTGATATTTTAGGAGACATCCATGGCAGTACAACCTTCAATGTTTGTGATTGGAAAAGGCAGATAAGCATAATTTGTCTGAGAAATCTTTCCTTAGCAATATGAGGCTGTCAAACCACTCTCTTGTACAATGGAAGCAGATATTTAGTTCCCAGACAGGCCTATGTAGCCACAAGCATGAGAGGTATCGTCTACTCCAGTGACAGGACTTACAACTTGCTGGCTACTCTCCACATTCTTATTAACAACTGCCAATGATAATTCAGTGATATATATATATATATATATATCTGAATTATCATATATATATATATATATGGAAATTAGAGGAAGACATAAGAGATAAAAAATGATGTTAAAAGTTTCATGTTTAATGATCAATGACAGGATTACCAGTAAGAATACATACACCAATAAACTTAATATGGTCTTAATTATTATTCATGAGGCCATTTCTGATTTATTACAGTAGGTAAACCCTTGAGATCAAAAGGCATGCATGATATTTTTATTAAATATCAAGAATTTTATGGTTTATGTCATTCCCATAAACTCGTAAGAAAAAGTAAAGTGCTTTATTTTCTTTGTCTAAACAGTTTGCATTTCCCTTAATTGATATTCTTAGTTGTGTTCCCTTGGCTGTATATATGGATGTCATATCAGAACAACACATGTGCGACTGTATAAACATTGATAAAATAATGTTTCTTCCTTATAGTCGACAGAATTACATGAAACTCATTGTTGCTGCAGATGATAACCAGATGGCACAAGGATCTCTGTTTTGGGATGATGGAGAGACTATAGGTGAGAGCTCCATTCATTAGATAAATGTAATTGATGACATCCATGTTATCACATTACTTATATATTTCTTATTATTGTACTCTGGGGGCTTAATAAAAATCAAATAATATTATTCAAAGCTAAAATAGTTTAATAAATAGTTGAATTAATTTTTAAAATAGTGTTAAAATATTTAAATAATTTCTTCTTATTCTAAATACAGTTAACCTCTATGCTAAATGTCTGGATAGCTAGGAGATCTCCATAGGCAGGGATTGTATATGGATCATTTTTGTTCTCCTAGAGGCTAGTCCACTGCTTTTTACATGATAGCCATTCACTATGTATGAGGTCAACTGGGCTGAAAAGCTCTGTTCCATATGTATGTACTATTGATGCATAAGGGTGCCTCTAAAACATGAGATATTCCAGAAACAAAACTCAAGCTTGGTCTCTGTACTTTACAGCTATGTTGTATTATTTTTTATTTTTAATATCCAGTATTTTTAACATGAAAAGTTTAAGGATTTAAACTTAAATTTATGTTTACTCTATGACTATTCCTCAAGACCAAACTGAACTGCTAAACTTTTAGCAGTGTGTGCTCTGCTGACCATTGTTACCAGAATCACCTGGGGTGGTTTCTAAAGAATGCAGATTCTGAAGAAGGTAAAGGGAGAGGGGGGTAAATAGTGATGGAAGGAGACTTGACTTGGGGTGGTAAACACACAATACAATACACAGATGACATATTGTAGAACCGTATACCTGAAACTTGTATAATTTTATTAACCAATGTCACCTCAATAAAATCAGTTGAGAAAAAGAATATAGATTCTGGGGCCTATTCAAATTTCATTACTTGGGGAGAGGCCCAAGAATCTGTCTTGCAGTAAAATTCTCCAAGGTGATTATCATACTGGTAGAGGATTAGGTTTACAACACTAGCTCTACTAGATGGGCATTCTAAAGATTCTCTTGATAAATCCTTACTCATAAAACTAACATCTGTCTGGAGCTGAAGTTCTCATGGGCTGTTCACTGCAGTTTAAATAAATCATGCACAGATGAGAGATTTTTCATTAATAGCAAAGACATATATCTTTCATCATTTCAGGTAAATCATAGTTAATATTCTTCAACCATAATAAATAGGAACCTATGAGTAAGTAAAATATATTAGAAAGTTTGTATAAGAATAATATTGTAGCCCGGCTGGGCATGGCTCAGCGGTTGAGCATTGGCCTAGGATCCAGGAGATTGCAGTTCGATTCCCAGTCAGAGCACATGCCTGGGTGCAGGAGGCAGCCAATCAATGACGACTCTCTCATCATTCAAGTTTCTGTCTCTGTCTCTCCCTTTCTCTATGTGAAATCAATAAAGATATATTTTTTTTAAAAAAGAATAATATTGTAGTAAGCAAGATTCTTAAAATAAAATAATAATTCTATGCTTGTAGAGCCCTGACCTTCATTAACACATTAACTGAGGTTCTACTCACCTGTATCCTATTAAAGTTTTGTTGCAGATTTTCTTTTAAATCACTGGAAAGTAACTGAGCATAATTTAGATATTTCTCTATGATCTCTTCATAGAGGCAAACCAAATGGTTCTGGCCAATTAAATCCACTTTTTAGGTTATATTTTGTAAACTCAGTACATTTATAAAGATTTTTTTTATATATTTAAAAGTCTGTAATGTTTTGAGTAAATAGCAGCAATGCACAATAAATGCTTAGAGTCTGCACTTATTAGATCAGAATCTTCAAAGCAGTTTTCTGTCCCAGCAAGCTTGCAATCTAGTTGCTAGATACCCATCTAAATGATTTCCTCCTTTAAGTACGTTCAGATTTTAGGGAATATTATTATTTGCTGACATATTCTTTCTTTCAAAGAAAATTCAAGATAAATAAAAACAGACTTATTTTGAAATTTGTGTACATTAAGCAATTTTCAGAAGTTACTAACTACAGTGCTGGCATGTATACGTGGAAAAGGATATTAAAACGTGTTGCTTTTTTGCCCAGCTGGGCATGGCTCAGAGGTTGAGTGTTGACCTAGGATCCAGGCAATTGGGGTTCGGTTCCCGGTCAGGGCACATGCCCGGGTTCCAGGCTCGATCAGTGACTGTCTCATCATTGATGTTCCTATCTCTCTCTCTCCCTCTCTTTTCCTCTCTCTGAAATCAATAAAGATATATTAAAAAAAAAAATGTTTAAAACGTGTTGCTTTTTCAATGTTATCCTAACACTTGTTTCAATCATCCATTTGACTCTACTTTTGACTTTCTGTCTTACGCTTTTTGGGTTTTATGTAGGAACAGTCTTAGCAGTCAGTGAAACAGGACTTAATTCCAGATCTTGGTAATGAAGATGGTTACTGACTGAAAGATGTGTCAATTTAAGATTTTTCAGCTTTAGAATGGTATGAAAGGGATGCACATTCAGCAGAAACCACTCTTTGAATTTTGATATCTTCCCAGGCTAGTGATAGCCTGTATGATACTCTCTTGTGATGCTGGGCAGTGGCAGAGAGCCACGGCTCCTGCTATCCTTAGGATAAACAACCACTACTTTGCAGTGTACCGTTGCCAGTGTTTTTTGATATTGTGTTTTGTGTTTTCTATATTCAATAAATTTCAGAATCCAACACTTTATTTTAAACTAGGCTCTGAGTTGGATGATTTTTGCCCAACTGTAGGCTAATATAAGTGTTCTGAGCATGTTTAAGGCACGCTAGGCGAAGTGAAGCTGTTCTTAGATTAGGTCTATTAAATGCAGTTTTGACTTACTATATTTTCAACTTCTGATGGGTTTATTGGGATGTAACCACATAGTAAATAAAGGAGCATCTGTAATTGGTTGCTTCACTTTTGGACATTTATTTAACTTCTCTGGGACTCACTTTCATCTTCTATATAGTGGGAATAATAATAATACATACTTCAGAGTAGTGTGATAAAATACTTAGAAGTTGACAAGTAGTAAGCACTTCATACATTATGGCTGTGATGTTATTTTTCAAGTTAATTTTAAATATGACAATTATATTTTATATATAGAGATGGAAATAAACCCTATGTTTTAGAACCCTTTCTGGTGACTCATCCTTCATATTTAGTGCTCCTTGGACTGTGTTTGAACAAGTTAAATATAATGCAATGATGGTTTTGCTACCCTTTCTACTGGGAAAGTGAAGCAAAATATACTAGTATTTACTGCTGTTCTTCTTTGTAAATATAAATATATCATTTTTATTTTTTTTTACAGACACCTATGAAAAAGACCTATATTTCTTGGTACAATTTAATTTAAACAAGGTGTGTATTCATTTTAGATTATTTATATGAAATTTTGTTAAGTAATATTTGAAGTTTTATACCATATTTTATATTTATTTTGTATTTACATGTTTTATATTTAGTATTTTAATGTACCTTACTTCAAATATATGAATAAACAACTTGCTGTACTATAGAATATATCTTGGTTTAACAAATATATATGTTTTGAAGTTTAAATTTCCCCCCCAAATTAACCATTTAAATTATTTCTTTGTCTTTGTAGACCACCTTGACAAGCACTATATTGAAAAGTGGTTACATAAACACAAATGAAATGAGGCTAGGATTCATCAACATATGGGGTATAGGAATGATTTCTGTTAATGAGGTTAATCTCATATATAAAGGAAATAAAGAGTCACTTAAATTTACCTATGAACCAAATATGAAGGTAAGTGATGTAAGAAAATATTTTTTAAATGAAGCAATTTAAAATATCTACATAGATGTCTTTTATTTCTCAGCCCTAAAGGAACATAATTATGGGTCAACTATAACCTTTCTTATTTATTCTCATTGAACATCCATATCTATTTTCATATCGTCCTTGGTAACCTGTCATACAAATTAATTTAATAGCATTTATTTTAAAATTGTCTTAACATAATTAAAGCAAGATTAAATTTACCTTAAACCTCTAAATCATTGTCAACTATGTATAGTAAAGTGCCTCAAATTTTTTTTTTCATAAAAAATAAAGTATCTTCACTTCAACTTTTAATATGTCTTAGATAAAACATATTTGAAAACTCTTGCAAAATTAATAAAACTGTCTTATCATTAGTGCATAATTTGACGTACAGGTTTATGAGCTGTGCTTCATGGATGGAATAAGGAGTCAGGATTTTTGTGTTAAAGTTCCCTTGCTGCCAGCAATTAGCTTTTTATTCTGATCAAATAATTTTAGGCCTTGTTTTCTTTTCAATAAAATGAGAATGTCCAAATAAATAATCTCTTAGGTCCCTTCCAATTCTAATTTCTATGAATTATCCTGTAAAGCTTGATTTAAAAAAACACATATGTTCTAGAAACCAACTAACTGTTACAATTGTTTGATCTAAGTTTAAGGCTACACCTGCGCTACTAAAACTGTACATGTGTCCACATACTGGTTTTGAGGAAAGTTGGATGGAAACAACTAGCTATTAATCAGTTGGTCACTCACATGAATTTAACTTACTCAATAGCCAGTTCTTTGGCTGACTTCAACTTAAAAATGAACAATCGTGTCTTGGACACAGTCTTAGGTCCTCATAGATTTTTTAGGATGTGAGGGTTAAACATCATCTGAGGGGACATTTTATCCAATTGAAACTGTCTTATTGTTACTGTTGTTTTGTAGTCAAGTGGGGTTTCCCTTTCACATGAAACAGTCTTAATTAAAGTACTTAATTAAAATGCTTTTATTTTTTTAATTATATAAAGTTTGGGAAATTAGAGGTTTGTATATTTAATGTCCTTCCTTGGTAAAATAAAAATTGGTATCCAAGAGCCTCAATCTCAGTTTTCTTCTTTATAAAGTTTTACTGGTTTTTAAAATTCTAATGTAAGGGAATCACTGATCATCAGTGGACTTATATGGCAGACCAAGAAACAGTCAGGAAAAGAAAAATTAATTCCCCAGGAATAGTCAGTGGTTATCAGTCACAGTGAGAAATCAGATTTGTTGAACTGCCTAATAATGTTCAACAGATCAAAAAAGAATGGCTTGCTCTATTTATTTTCTGTCTCTTTGTATACTACTACAATAACAAAAAAATAAAGCTCACAATTTTCATTATAAAAATAAGCAAAACACAGTCAGCTGAACAGTGTTGGATAATTGATGACTGAATCCAAATTTTCTGAGCTAAGACATAGAGAGTAGTGGACAAAAAGCAGCAGTGATAAGGTTTACTGATATCATCATATAAAACTGTTACAGATGATTGTTTGTCCTCAGCTGCTTAATTGGTCACTTCCAAAATTAGTCCCTATGTGGTCTGAGATTCTTTCTCATGAAAAAAATAACACACACAAAATTGAAGTCATTGGCAATAAATTCAGCATCCTAAAGCCTTTTGAGTTTGATGTAAAAGAAACATATTTCTAATCTAAATGTTGTGTGTAAATGACTAGATAATAGTTGAGGGTGGGAAGCATGGAGATTTATGTAAGTGCAAGTATGAATAACTCCATGTGTAGGAGCCATGGAGAAAAGTTAAGTAATACAAGTCAATATAATTGGTTAACAGTCCTAGTAGTTCACTGTCTTTTGAGAAACATCCCACCTCTCTGGGATTTATATTCATCATCCAAATAATCGATGATTTGGGTGAGATTATTTCTGAAATGGTTGTGAAATCTCTGAAATAAAAATTCATCAAAATGAAAAATAAAGATAAAATATACCTTGTTTACTTAGAGAACATTTATTTATTTATGGATATATAGTCTTTGTTAAAGTAATGATTCTGATTAAATAATTAATTGCCATTTTTCTTTTTTTTTAGATATTAAATATCAATCTGACAGTGAATAATGTTGTTCTAGATGAACCAATAGAAATCAATTGGTCATGAAGATCATCATGAATTCCAGTTGCCAAAAGGATATTAACATCTGGATTTACATTTTACTCCACTTATAAACTTTCCTCTCCATTGGTTTCTTACATTCTATAAAATATGATTTTTGTAAAGTCAATCTAAAGTTATTGTACAAAATGAATTACGAATAATATTACAAGTGAATAAATAATTTTGTTATATTAATTTGGCCTAGAATCATTTTTAAACATATTAATTAGGATTTAAATAGTTCTATTACCCTTGATAAGTTTCAGATAAAACTGTAAACTAGTTATTAAATATATGTGTGTAACTAAGATATAATAAAAACGTGATTTTTTAAATTAAGTGAATTTTTTGTTTAATTGTATATAATATTTTCTTCAGTGTTTTGTAGATTTGTTATGTTCCAACAATTGTCACCAGATTTAATTATTTCTTACTAAGTGCATTTAATTGGAAAACAAAAACTAAGACGTACATAAACATAAAAAATATATAATTTCTCTTTGTTTTCTAAAAGGAAATTGTCTTATATTGGCTTGCTTTAACAAATTACCGTAGACTGGGTTGCTTAACCAATAGACACTGATTTCTCTCAGCCCTGGAGACTGGAAAGTCTGAGATCAAGGTGCTGGCAGATTTACTGTCCCTCGCCCTCTTGGTGGTTTGCTGGTACCCCCTTCTCATAAGGCATTAATTCCATTCATGAAGGCTCCACCCTGATGACCTAATTACCTCCCAAATGTGTCATTTCCAATCCAAATACTATCACACTGAGGATTAGAATACTGATATATGATTTGGGGAGGGACACAAACAGTCCATAGCAGAAATCACAATTTATTTTTCTAGCTTTGCTTTATATATAGGAGGGGGGGGGAAATATTACATTCTTGGGGAACTCCATTTCCCTGTTTCTATCAATTTTAAATGATGTATTTCATAGGGAAACAGTAATAAGTATTATTTACCTTGGCACTGATGGATTTTCTGCATTTAATTAGGCATGTATGTGGTAAAATATAGCTGACCCAAGAGCAGTCTCACCCTGAAACAGCAAAATAGAGGAAACACTTGTATTAGACATACTGAAAATATGGATGCTTCCTTTTCCAGTTCAGCACATCCTAATAGGTGTAAATTGGTTTAAAATGGGATTCAGAAATGTGTTTTATCTCTCCAGAAATTGTTAAGTTTTAGAACAGACTTTTCCTTAAAAGGAAGAAAATTTTCCTTGCTAGGAGCAATGTTATAAAATGAAAACTTTTGAAACTGCATGTTGCCTTCTATATTTATAATAATGAAATCCCCACAAATACCCAAACATTACCACAACTACCTTAACAAAAACTACATAGCAAATGTATTCTTTTTTTGGAAAAACCTGGTAAATTTCACAAACACTAGACCACAGCAATCAGAAAATCATCCAATTACATTTTGCTGATCTGAAACCTTAACCTTTGGTCTATAGTAATATCCAGTTGTGGTGGTTATTTTCATCTAGAAAAAAGGGTAATAATAATAATACCTACTTTGTAGATTTGTATGGATTAAAGGAAGTGATCCTTGAAAATAACTTAAAGAAAGTCTGATTCACAAAAAGAGCTCAATATAGCTTAGCTATTCTTGTCTTAATTTCAGAAGAAAATATTAAAATAATACAAATAAGAGTCCTGTGGGCATGGATTTAAATTCTATTGTATCTCTCATTTGTTGTATATATTCATTAACTTATTTAATCCTGTATCTCTTATTTCAATAAAAAAATGTAGACATATTCACCCATGAGATAACATGACTGGCACATTAAGTGATCAATAAATTATTAGCAATTATGATTATCACAAATAATACATTTAAATTGAATAAATATTTCTGGTTAGATACATTGTTTTGTGTATTAACAAAGGAGAGCTGGATATAAAATATATGAAATGTGAAGCAGGGTTTGTGATTGCATTGTAAGTCCAGCTTTTTCTTGAGTTGGGATGTTAAAAGAATTTATGGAGAACATTTTCGTCCTACACCCATCCCAGTCAAAAAACATTGTAAAACAATCAGTGGATTTGAAATCTGGGCCTTCTACTATATTTAGATCATGGTAAAAACACACAATAAAACAAATCATCTTTAAAATGCCTATATCATATTTTTAAAGTATTAGAAATGTTTTTGTTATTTTTGATTGTCTATTACCTAAGTAAATATTAATTGCCATTTTTAAATTAAGCAAAGCAGAAAATTACAAAGAGAAAAAATTTAAAAGAACTCTAAATTATACCACCCAGAAATGACTTATTTATATTTGATGACCACCATTCAAGAGATCTCAAAATTTATGTATACAGACACCAAAAACTGTTTTTGATAGAATATTTAAATTTTAGTGCTAGTGTTGAAGCATAAAATTTCCAGTGGGTTTTATACACTTTTTTCTGTTCTTATATGTTTTATAACTAATATTTTCTTAGAAAAATGTATTGACTCATAATTATAGGGGTTACTACATTTGAAATTGTCATTTACAAAAGGATCTGCTTAGATTGTCTTTAGGGAAATGTTATAAAAATAATTAAGATTTTTTTTTTTTTTTACTTCTATGACAAGAAAATAAAAATCACTTTAACCTTGGTTTTGCCCTCTAATGACTATGGAGCTACAATTTTCCTCATACCACATAGTAGTGTTTTGATTCGGTTTGTTTCTTTTAGAAGACAGGCTTATTTAATTTTTATCTTTAATAGGATTCAAAACTTTTAAGCCAATTCTTAAGATTCAAATTTCCAAATTTTATACATACACACTATCAGTGAAAAATTTAGGCAACATCCTTCAGCCCAATACTAAGATTATTGTGGGAGCAAACTAAAGTGGAGAAGAGGGATACTGCATTGAATTTTTGATGCTTAGTCAGGCTCAATTCCCAAATAAATGTCTTTCCTCCACACATAAGCCTTCTAGAATTTGTATGCTTGAAATTTGTTCCACTGCGAGTCGCACATTACCATGCCATAGACTTCCCAAGCCATTCATGAATTGCCCAAACCAAGAATGCAAATGAAAGGTTTAAGGCATTTCATTTCAGATATTTATATTTGCACATCTGGTTTGAATTTCAAAAGAATGCTTTGAATTATTTACAGATAGCTATAACTCTGACTTTTCATATTGTTTGGAAAATAAATCACTCTTGGTGACTTGATAAAAATCATAAGTTTGCAGGACTGCTGGGGAACTTCTAGTACTTGGCTGGTTCAACAAAGCAGTACTAATTTTGGCTATACCAACTGATTTTTCTGAATTGCCATGGATACTGTGGCCAACTTTCTTCTTACCAGAGATCACAAAATGTGCATTTAAATTTTAGCCTGTAAAAATTCCGATAAATTTATTATTGTGCTTGAGAATAGAGCTGGCTAGCTCAGAGATTAATAATATCTGGATATTTTGAACTTTATAAATCATTTTGACATAGTTGCACTCTATTTAACTTTGCAGGAATGAGAATTTCAGGGCTGCAAGCCCAAAGATGAGCAACTGCCAGGAGCCAAGCATCAAAAGAAAGAGCAGCAGTGGAGAAGAGCTGGCTCAGCACCTGCCTATGAGATTTTCTTCTGTGGCTTCATAACTGGAAAAAGTGGTACTATCAACTGAGATTGGAATAATGGGTAGAGAAATAGAGGGGAGGGTTCCAGAATACAGAGGGGGAGTTGCTGGATAGATGAGTCAACAGGCATTTGCAAAAATTAGCAAACGTTTTTCATATGCAGGGAAAGAAAGGGTCAGGGACAAAATGATCAAACATCTTGTTCTACATCTAGAAGCAATGAAGTTAAATGTTCAAACCCAGCTCTTTCTGCCTCAAAAGTTAGTCTCTTACTCAGCATACTGTGTGTAAATGAAGTATCTCAGGAGAGGCATATGACAAAAGGAAAACAATGGGCTAAGGAGAGAAATCTGGACAAAATCAACTTTTAGTACTTGGGAGAGTAAAAGAAACTTGAAGATCATTTAGGATTGGCACGGATGATATTAAAAAGCAGAGAGAGTGATCTCCTCAAGGCAAAGGGACTAAACAACCCCAAGTTGAAATGAGAATAAAACATCAGAGAAGTAAAGGAAATAAAATGAAGTATTTTATCCAATTTAAATAATGAGATGGTGTAGTGTGGAAAAAATAAAAGGCGAACTGAGAATCTAGATACTTACATTTCATTTCATTAAGGAACAGGAAAATGCATGAGTAACTACCGGGACTTCACATTAGAGCTGTTTTATAGCCGATCCCTCATTATTAACACCTTCTTTCATATTGTGTAGTTAATTTTTTTCAATATGAACTTTTGCAATGTAATGTTCATTTATACCAATAAAAAAGGTGGGACATTTAAAGAAATTTTAAGAAAATAAAAATCACTTTAACCTTGGTTTTACCCTCTAATGACTATGTAACTACAATTTCTCTCATACCACATAGTAGTGTTTTGATTCGGTTTATTTTAGAAGACAGGCTTATTTAATTTTTATCTTTAATAGGATTCAAAACTTTTAGGCCAATTCTTAAGGTTCAAATTTCCAAATTTTATACATACACACTATCAGTGAAAAATTTAGGCAGACCTCTACTTGTCTGTGCAAGTGTACAAATTTGGTTTTATTTCTGTATTGTATAAAGAGTGAAACTTGGAGCAGAACACTAGTGAGGAGTTTAGAAACTGGTTACAAATATGTAGAATTTGGCTTTATTCTTCTTTATATCCCTAATTACTCAAATCCTAAATTATATTATGCTATCACGCAAAGCCCTCTGAGAAAAAAATGTGATGATTAGAGACGGTACAGTCTAATTTATGATGATAAAGAACTATATCAATAAGTACATTTACAAAGAAAACAAATTTTATATTTATCTTGGAAATGGTTCATTAACCATCTCATCTATAAGTATTTACAAGCTCAATTCTTCCTTACATATTACAAATCTAAACCAGCTATTTCCAGGAAGA